CAGAGAAAATGACTGTAATACCTCTGAGTCTGGAGAAGAAGATTTTTGAAATATTGGTTAATTTTCCCTTTTGGGCCCCGCCCTGGCCCCTAGGGTTGGGGTAGGAATCCCAATTTTACAATTTGGTAGCCTCATATACCAAGGATGATTCTGACCAAGTTTGAAAAAATTCCATCCACTGGTTCTTGAGAAGAAGTTGATAATGTAAAAGTTTACGCACGACGGACGACGGACGACGGACGACGACGGACAGAAAGTGATTGGAATAGGTCACTTGAGCAAAGCTCAGGTGACCTAAAAAACATGTTTACAAAACCTACCAAGACAGGGCTTTTGGCAATGACGTTTTGAATTAAAATGAAAATTCTATAAGTTTTTTAATGAAAACCAGACATTTACAACATTTTTCTGTAGTTATTCATGATTTGCCTTAATCCATGCTCCATTTCATGCGTTTTTCCTCGTTTTCTCCGATGTCATTTCCTGGGGTTCATTATAACGATATTGAAACACAATTTCACTAACTAAAATATTTGTTCCTGAACAGTTATTTGAAAAATATTTGTATTGACTGGTTTTCAAAGTTTTACAAGTTATTCAATTAATACTGATTTTGCTACACAATTTTGTTCTTTGACTCACAAAATAATGTGAGTAAAATTCAATTTCCAAGAATAAATCACCATACCATACAACTAATTCCATAGGAAAATGTGAAAATATTGTCAGATAAATAATCAGTTAATTTTCTATCAGGGAATTATATTTCTTTTCAGTTGCAAAAAAACTGCTCCAATAGTAATACAACATTTATATAGCGCCCTATATGATTTGTAAAAAAATTCTCTAAAGCATTGTACAACACATGAATAATAGTATTCCTACAGCGACAGTTATAAATAAAGAAGATCAAAAGGTATACAAATCAGCATTATATATGAAATAACAATACATTCATCTCAATATGTATACAAATAAATATATATAGGGTACATGACAACTGTACAAGAGTCTAAAATGAAGACTTAAAGATGTGAGTCTTCATATCCTTCTTTCTGCCAAGAAAATTTAATGATAAATTAAGACAGTGTTTGCAAATCGTGAATAATCTTAGCATAAGGCTGTAACACTTTTAAATAGCCAAAAAATATTTGTTAGTGCTTTTAGCGTGTTCTAAAAGTCCATTTCTGTATTAAATAAATCATATTGTTTATACATTTTCTAACATTTACAAAACAAATATTTAAACGGTCTGTTCTTCTGATAACATGGTCATGATTTTCTGTGTGAAGTCTTATGTGGGGTTACTTTTATATTAATTATAGCCCTGTAGTTCAAATAACATGATTTTTTTGTGGTATCTATACCATCCATATGATCAATTTTAAACCATAACTTTTAAAACTGTTCTAAAATTAGTATCTTTGTTGTTTAATTTTAATACCGAATGCATTTACTAGAGCAATTTGATACACAAAAAAAATCATTGCTGAAGAGTCAAGACCTGAAATACCAGTTATCTACCAGTCTATTTTTAGCAACATAAAAATGGAAAAATAAAAAAAAAACTCACAGAGGACACACCATGATATCGGCGAGAAAAACGCGACTCGAGAATGAATTTTGACAAAAACTTCGAAAAAAACCTATTATTTCAGGTAAACATTGAAAAGTGATGAAAAGATTTCATAAAATTTTACCTTGTTTTGTGTCATGTTACACATGTGAATGTACATAACATAGAGAAATGAGTGTGAATATTTAGTGGTTTTGTTGACCAAACAATTATACAAGATATTCATACAAAGCATTGTTTTCTGTCCCTCTTTCCTTTGCTAAGTCTAAAACAGATTCTCCCTGATTAGTTAGTATGGTTGTGATGTCATACTGACTTCCTGTTGATTCTAGATACTGTTTTACATGAGATTCACACTCAGTGAACAGGCCTACATCAGATGTAGACGAAGCTATATCATGTAGACAATGACACCCTGACTTACATACAGCTGTAGTTAGTGCTGGGTACGACTTACACAGATATTTACAAACCTCCATGTGTCCCCCAATACAACTAGAATGTAACACTGTTCTCCCGTCATTATCTACAGCTGTAGTTAGTGCTGGGTACGACTTACACAGATATTTACAAACCTCCATGTGTCCCCAAATACAACTAGAATGTAACACTGTTCTCCCGTCATTATCTACAGCTGTAGTTAGTGCTGGGTACGACTTACACAGATATTTCAAAACCTCCATGTGTCCCCCAATACAACTAGAATGTAACACTGTTCTCCCGTCATTATCTACAGCTGTAGTTAGTGCTGGGTACGACTCACACAGGTATTTCAAAACATCCATGTGTCCCCCAATACAACTAGAATGTAACACTGTTCGCCCACTATTATCTACAGCTGTAGTTAGTGCTGGGTACGACTCACACAGGTATTCCAAAACCTCCATGTGTCCCCCAATACAACTAGAATGTAACACTGTTTGCCCGCTATTATCTACAGCTATAGTTAGTGCTGGGTACGACTCACACAGGTATTCCAAAACCTCCATGTGTCCCCCAATACCACTAGAATGTAACACTGTTCCCCCGTTATTACCTACAGCTGTAGTTAGTGCTGGGTACGACTCACACAGGTATTTCAAAACATCCATGTGTCCCCCAATACAACTAGAATGTAACACTGTTCCCCCGTCATTATCTACAGCTGTAGTTAGTGCTGGGTACGACTCACACAGGTATTTCAAAACATCCATGTGTCCCCCAATACAACTAGAATGTAACACTGTTCCCCCGTTATTATCTACAGCTGTAGTTAGTGCTGGGTACGACTCACACAGGTATTTCAAAACCTCCATGTGTCCCCCAATACAACTAGAATGTAACACTGTTCCCCCGTCATTATCTACAGCTGTAGTTAGTGCTGGGTACGACTCACACAGGTATTTCAAAACATCCATGTGTCCCCCAATACAACTAGAATGTAACACTGTTCCCCCGTTATTATCTACAGCTGTAGTTAGTGCTGGGTACGACTCACACAGGTATTTCAAAACATCCATGTGTCCCCCAATACAACTAGAATGTAACACTGTTCCCCCGTTATTATCTACAGCTGTAGTTAGTGCTGGGTACGACTCACACAGGTATTTCAAAACCTCCATGTGTCCCCCAATACAACTAGAATGTAACACTGTTCCCCCGTTATTATCTACAGCTGTAGTTAGTGCTGGGTACGACTCACACAGGTATTTCAAAACATCCATGTGTCCCCCAATACAACTAGAATGTAACACTGTTCCCCCGTTATTATCTACAGCTGTAGTTAGTGCTGGGTACGACTCACACAGGTATTTCAAAACCTCCATGTGTCCCCCAATACAACTAGAATGTAACACTGTTCCCCCGTCATTATCTACAGCTGTAGTTAGTGCTGGGTACGACTCACACAGGTATTTCAAAACATCCATGTGTCCCCCAATACAACTAAAATGTAACACTGTTCCCCCGTCATTATCTACAGCTGTAGTTAGTGCTGGGTACGACTCACACAGATATTTACAAACCTCCATGTGTCCAAACCTACAAATTATATGTAACACTGTTCGCCCGCTATTATCTACAGCTGTAGTTAGTGCTGGGTACGACTCACACAGGTATTCCAAAACCTCCATGTGTCCCCCAATACAACTAGAATGTAACACTGTTTGCCCGCTATTATCTACAGCTGTAGTTACTGCTGGGTACGACTCACACAGGTATTCCAAAACCTCCATGTGTCCCCCAATACAACTAGAATGTAACACTGTTCCCCCGTCATTATCAACAGCTGTAGTTAGTGCTGGGTACGACTCAAACAGGTATTTCAAAACCTCCATGTGTCCCCCAATACAACTATAATGTAACACTGTTCCCCCCTCATTATCTACAGCTGTAGTTAGTGCACGGTACGACTCACACAGGTATTTCAAAACCTCCATGTGTCCCCCTATACAACTATAATGTAACACTGTTCGCTCGCTATTATCTACAGCTGTAGTTAGTGCTGGGTAAGACTCACACAGATATTTACAAACCTCCATGTGTCCAAACATACAAATTCTATGTAACCCTGTTCGTCCGCTATTATCTACAGCTGTAGTTAGTGCTGGGGACGACTCACGCAGGTATTTCAAAAAATCCATGTGTCCCCAATACAACTACAATGTAACACTGTTCCCCCCTCATTATCTACAGCTGTAGTTAGCACAGTTCCCCCGTAATTATCTACAGCTGTAGTTAGTGCTGGGTACGACTCACACAGGTATTTCAAAAAATCCATGTGTCCCCAATACAACTACAATGTAACACTGTTCCCCCCTCATTATCTACAGCTGTAGTTAGTGCACGGTACGACTCACACAGGTATTTTAAAACATCCATGTGTCCCCCAATACAACAAGAATGTAACACTGTTCCCCCGCTATTATCTACAGCTGTAGTTAGTGCTGGGTAAGACTCACACAGATATTTACAAACCTCCATGTGTCCAAACCTACAAATTGTATGTAACACTGTTCGCCCGCTATTATCTACAGCTAAGATAGTGCTGGGTACGACTCACACAGGTATTTCAAAACATCCATGTGTCCCCCAATACAACTAGAATGTAACACTGTTCCCCCGTTATTATCTACAGCTGTAGTTAGTGCTGGGTACGACTCACACAGGTATTTCAAAACCTCCATGTGTCCCCCAATACAACTATAATGTAACACTGTTCCCCCGTCATTATCTACAGCTGTAGTTAGTGCTGGGTACGACTCACACAGGTATTTCAAAACCTCCATGTGTCCCCCTATACAACTATAATGTAACACTGTTCCCCCGTCATTATCTACAGCTGTAGTTAGTGCTGGGTACGACTCACACAGGTATTTCAAAACCTCCATGTGTCCCCCTATACAACTATAATGTAACACTGTTCCCCCGTCATTATCTACAGCTGTAGTTAGTGCTGGGTACGACTCACACAGGTATTTCAAAACCTCCATGTGTCCCCCTATACAACTATAATGTAACACTGTTCGCCCGCTATTATCTACAGCTGTAGTTAGTGCTGGGTAAGACTCACACAGATATTTACAAACCTCCATGTGTCCCCCAATACAAATTGTATGTAACACTGTTCGCCCGCTATTATCTACAGCTGTAGGTAGTGCTGGGTAAGACTCACACAGATATTTACAAACCTCCATGTGTCCCCCAATACAACTAGAATGTAACACTGTTCCCCCGCTATTATCTACAGCTGTAATTAGTGCTGGGTAAGATTCACACAGATATTTACAAACCTCCATGTGTCCAAACATACAAATTGTATGTAACACTGTTCGCCCGCTATTATCTACAGCTGTAGTTAGTGCTGGGTACGACTTACACAGGTATTTCAAAACCTCCATGTGTCCCCCAATACAACTAGAATGTAACACTGTTTCCCCGTCATTCTCTACAGCTGTAGTTAGTGCTGGGTACGATTCACACAGGTATTTCAAAACATCCATGTGTCCCCCAATACAACTAGAATGTAACACTGTTCCCCCGCTATTATCTACAGCTGTAGTTAATGCTGGGTACGACTCACACAGATATTTACAAACCTCCATGTGTCCAAACATACAAATTGTATGTAACACTGTTCGCCCGCTATTATTTACAGCTGTAGTTAGTGCTGGGTACGACTCACACAGGTATTTCAAAACCTCCATGTGTCCCTCAATACAACTAAAATGTAACACTGTTCCCCCGTCATTATCTACAGCTGTAGTTAGTGCTGGGTACGACTCACACAGATATTTACAAACCTCCATGTGTCCAAACATACAAATTCTATGTAACACTGTTCTTCCGCTATTATCTACAGCTGTAGTTAGTGCTGGGTACGACTCACACAGGTATTTCAAAACATCCATGTGTCCCCCAATACAACTAGAATGTAACACTGTTCCCCTGTCATTATCTACAGCTGTAGTTAGTGCTGGGTACGACTCACACAGATATTTACAAACCTCCATGTGTCCAAACATACAAATTGTATGTAACACTGTTCCCCCGCTATTATCTACAGCTGTAGTTAGTGCTGGGTACGACTCACACAGGTATTTCAAAACCTCCATGTGTCCCCCAATACAACTAGAATGTAACACTGTTCCCCCGCTATTATCTACAGCTGTAGTTAGTGCTGGGTACGACTCACACAGGTATTTCAAAACCTCCATGTGTCCCCCAATACAACTAGAATGTAACACTGTTCCCCCGCTATTATCTACAGCTGTAGTTAGTGCTGGGTACGACTCACACAGGTATTTCAAAACCTCCATGTGTCCCCCAATACAACTAGAATGTAACACTGTTCCCCCGCTATTATCTACAGCTGTAGTTAGTGCTGGGTACGACTCACACAGGTATTTCAAAACCTCCATGTGTCCCCCAATACAACTAGAATGTAACACTGTTCCCCCGCTATTATCTACAGCTGTAGTTAGTGCTGGGTACGACTCACACAGGTATTTCAAAACCTCCATGTGTCCCCCAATACAACTAGAATGTAACACTGTTCCCCCGTTATTATCTACAGCTGTAGTTAGTGCTGGGTACGACTCACACAGATATTTACAAACCTCCATGTGTCCAAACATACAAATTCTATGTAACACTGTTCCCCCGCTATTATCTACAGCTGTAGTTAGTGCTGGGTACGACTCACACAGGTATTTCAAAACCTCCATGTGTCCCCCAATACAACTAGAATGTAACACTGTTCCCCCGCTATTATCTACAGCTGTAGTTAGTGCTGGGTACGACTCACACAGATATTTACAAACCTCCATGTGTCCAAACATACAAATTCTATGTAACACTGTTCGCCCGCTATTATCTACAGCTGTAGTTAGTGCTGGGTACGACTCACACAGGTATTTCAAAACCTCCATGTGTCCCCCAATACAACTAGAATGTAACACTGTTCCCCCGCTATTATCTACAGCTGTAGTTAGTGCTGGGTACGACTCACACAGATATTTACAAACCTCCATGTGTCCAAACATACAAATTCTATGTAACACTGTTCGCCCGCTATTATCTACAGCTGTAGTTAGTGCTGGGTACGACTCACACAGGTATTTCAAAACCTCCATGTGTCCCCCAATACAAATAGAATGTAACACTGTTCCCCCGTCATTATCTACAGCTGTAGTTAGTGCTGGGTACGACTCACACAGGTATTTTAAAACCTCCATGTGTCCCAGGTAACAACTCTTATGTAACAATGTTTCCCCCGACTCACTCACTAACTGACACATGTACTGAGCACACACACAATTCCCGTGCACCACACGACCTTCTACTGTCTCACGCTTATGTTGTTCGTCATCAACTCTATACAAGGATTTTAGTATAATGCTCTCCACTTTGTATAATATATTCACTCTCCCTCCCTCTACCACACAAATCAATGTCATCTTGTCAGGTTTCACACCCTCCGACAGGAGGAATAAAGTACATTCTTCTGAACCAGAAGAACATGTTCCATTCAACAAGCGAAGTTTTATCTCATGGCACAAGTTTTTGTCAACGTTCTGACCACTAAGCCATCTGGTAAATCCCTGCAGAAACTGAATATCTGTCCAAACATCTAATGAAGTTATAGAAAGATATTTACTATAAAACCTGTCACTTTCTGGGTCAGAGTTACTAGAATAGACAGATTTAAACTCTCCAAGTAAACGTTCATACATGTACTGATTATCAGATGATATAACTACTTTGTTTGGAGTGGTTTTTGAGGTAGTTACATAACTCAGAAACTTCCTGGGACAATTCTGTATGTAGCCAATGGGAGTTTTTTCTCCATACAAAAGTGCCAGAGTTTCCTCAATTGAGTCATGGTTGAATCTGTAACAAACTTTTTGGTTTTGGTGAGACTCTTTTTTCACCATCCAGCCCAACAGACAATCTAATGACTTCTTCACAAATTCTATTTTCCTCCCCTTATTATAAACAAGCTCAGTTGTTGGGGTAACTTCCACTACATCATCTTTAAATGCTGCTTCTAATAAATTCTCATCAATTTTTTTATTGTTAGAGTCTAAATTATCTTCCATGACTTTGCCTGCGTTAAGGAACAGATACATCAAACCATAACATTTTCCGTCTTTCAATTTAGATAAAGAAGATTTCAGAAAATGAAAAGGTCTTTTAAAAAAAGTCATCCTCTCCGTTTGCAAAGTAGACGAATCTCTGAACAACCTACAGCATTGTGGAAACCCAATGTCAGGAGCACACTTGACAATTTCCTTCTCTTCATCATCTTTCCATGAGTCAAAATTATCTTTTGGTTTGTACAACCTTAAAAATTCCAGTTTTTCTTCAGCATCTATGTTAAGGTCAACAATGTTTTGTTTAGTGAATACCTTTTCTAAGCAAGATCCAGTTAAAGAATTTGAAATTCCACTGCGAATTGCAACGATCAGAAAATTGCCATCTGTGTGCTCATTTCTACAAAATTTTGAAATAATAGATTTTTCTCTTTTCTCCCATTCTTCCACATCTTGTTTACACACAACATTCTTTCCAAAGATATCATCTAAATAAATAACTAATTGTGACTTTGGGGTCACATAATCCAAGTCTTTGATATCATGCAGTTCTAGTGGCTGTCGACATTGTTGCCCCTCCTCATTATAGCACAGCCGACGGAGAAGTTCAAGGGCAATTGATGTCTTCCCGTCTCCAGAATTTCCCTTGATTAACACCAAGCTGTTCTTCAGTAGTTTATCATAGGCATCCTGGAGACTTTTGGTAGAAAGGAACTTGTATTCGTCTTTTTCTTTCAATATCATGGCTGTGGTTGTTTCTGCAAGGAAAAAAAAAATCATGTCCCATAAGAACAAACGTCAAGAATGAAATAGCCAACAAGGAAGTCAGGTTCCCCATGGAAGTCAGTATCTGATGGTAAAGATTGATTTTTCTCTCATTTCCCTGTGTGAAAGATAGAGCTGTCCAGGGTAAGAAAGGGGTGTAGGAAATGTTTGTCTTACAACCCATTTCATGTGACTAGACGTCACAATGGCTCAACAATGACGTGACGTCACGAATTTTGAACTCTCCGATGCCGCAATGCGGAAAAGGCGACGTGATGAAATTAAAACCTTTTACAATATTTACACTACAGGTTAGAAATATGTGATTATTTTTTCTGCGCAAACCTTNACTGGTGGAATTTCCCTATCCTACAGCCCTGGGCATGGAAGAGTCTTATAATATTACCCAGGTGTTTCTGAATCTTTACAAAACAAGATATGCTAAAACACCGACATGTCAACAAGGGCCCCGCTGTTTGCCTTAAAGTATAATACATATCCCTAATTGCCAAGCAGATGCCATAGCAGTAATTTTTGATTCTGGAATATGGATAGTAACGCATCATATATTTATATATATTTGCAAATGAATATTTACCAACAGGAATGAATAAAATCTGACCAGCAGAGTAGGAAAAATTGCCTGAAATATCTCAGACAGTCAGAAGCTATGGCAGCCACCTGGTATAATGGTATCTGAGTATTATTATATACCTCACTTATAACAATGTACCATCATGTAAAATTTCATAAAGTTTCAGACTCCTGGAGTCTGAGACAATCTACACAAATGAGAATGCGGTCAGACAGACAGTGTGTGGACAGACAAACAGACGGACAGACATAGTGATTTCATAGGACATCTGCAGGAACCTAAATGACAGATGGTTGAGCAATTTATTCTTGCATTGTATTTAAGAATGATTTAGCATAGCTGAATATGAATAGCCTGTCTCACTAGAACTGAATTTGGCAATGATAACAATAACTAAACACAATCTGTTTCCATCAACCAGCCACAATCACAACATGACATATCAAGTTAATATGATTTTGACCTTGAATGGACGATTACATAACAGTTATTGTTTTATACAAATTCAATTATTTCGCATGCTCTTTAACATCTGAACAGTATCGTTTGAACTTTTCACTAGTCACTGTCCCTGACGATTAGTTTGGTTGATATACACGGTATGCTGCAGCTCGACTCTCCTTCATCAAGTCAGATCTTCTTATCCATCCCCGTTCAGTAAACTCACCTATCATATCTGTTAGCTTAGGATCCCTTTCTGTAAAATACAAAGGATCCATGTGATGTTTTTTTTTTTTAGATAATTCACATTTTGATTAAGACATGTGCAATGTAAAATTGGAAACATCTCTTTCTACTTCTATTCCTATTTAAGTAAAGATTAATCATCACAATAAACAAGAGTACCGCGGGGCGGAACAATATACGCCCGTCGAATGCCATATAGTGTTATATACTTTCTTACATTGAAATAAGATCTGCATCATTCTAAGAGTGGTTAGCTGACATGCTATAAACGATATAATAGGCCTGCATCGCTCACCTGGTATTAATCTCACACTTGTAATCGTAACAGTGGACTAAAATACAGCTACAGGCAGAATATTAGGGCTATATTAACGATACACCGCGGTGCACCGAAAACCGCGCTATGTTGTCGGTTCGGTGTACGATATGTTTTTTCCATGTTTCGGTTCGGTTTGGTTTTTAATATTACTTGACTAACAGAATTTAACTTTACATGTGTAACGTAAAATTTGATTGGCTCGTATGATAAAAGCTGTGCAATAGTTGTTGCTTTACACAACTTTGCATAAACAAACATGCAATATGGCGGAGCTTCAATTAAACAAGAGGCATAGAGGGCCTGTATCGCTCTCCTGTATATTTAAGCAATGATGGCAAATTATTCATATTAGAAGTAAAATTGCAAATATTTCCCTATTTTGACCCTAACACTAATAATAATATCACCAAGCTTTAGATCAAATCCCTTTTCCTCTACTCAAGAAGTAGAATTTTGAAGGATTATTATATTTCCTTTATTGGGTTCCAACCTTCCGATCTTATGGGGTGGGGTCACATGTTTTGTTTATACAAAATTGGAATCCCTTTATCTGTAATCAAGGAGTAGGATTTACCCATATTTATCCCAAGGGGGCCACACTTTTCGTTTATACAGCATTAGGTTCCCTTTGCGTGAGGATGCTCCACACCAAATTAGGTTCAAATGTGTTTACTCGTAATCAAGATTTTTTTTTTTAAATTTAAATATATTACCCTTATTGGGTTCTACCTCTCTGCTTCCAAGGGGGCCAAGCCCTTCGTTTATACGACATTAGGCTTCCTTTGCCCATGGATGCACGAGACCAAATTAGGTTCAAATCCCTTTACCCGTAATAAAGTTGTAAAAGACTTTTAAAGATTTACCTATATTTCCCCTATTGGGTCCTGTTCCTCTGCCCCCAATGGGGCTACACCCTTCCTATATACAACATGAGGTTATTTTTATTCGCAAATTTTGTTTGGCTAATTCCAAGGAAGCCACCAGTTAAATACAATGTCATTAGGCATTTAAGTATTTCAGAAGAAGTCGTTTGAAGGTTTTGAGATATTTGACCTCTATGACCTTTAAAGTAGGTCAAGGTCATTTTTATTTGCACACTTTGTTTGGCAGTTACCAAGGAAGCTACCAGGTAATTCCCATATCTCTAGGCTTTTCTGTATTTCAGAAAATAAGTTGTTTGAAAATTTTGACATATTTCACCCCTGTGACCTTAAAAGTAAGTCAAGGCCATTTTTTATTCGCAAACTTTGTTCGGCTTATTCCATGGAAGCTACCTACCAATTGTCATATCTCTAAACCTTTCGGTATTTCAGGAGAAGTTGTTTGAAGGTTTTTACATATTTTACCCCGTGACCATGAATGTAGGTCAAATTCTGTTTTTTTCACAAACTTTGTCGGGCTTCATATAAGGAAGCTACCAGCCAAATATCATGACTCTATGCCTTCTGGTTCTTCAGAAGAAGTTGTTCAAAGGAAAGTTGACGGACTCCGGACAGACACGCTGCCCTTCGGGCAGATGAGCTAAAAACCTCCCGCTTCCTTTCGCTCGTCTGTTTGGAAACATTTTGGATTCCGACTAAATGTCCCTGATAGAAAATCACTCTCCACTGCCGCATATGTTTCGTAGATGTAAGTTACAAGTCAGGGAACACATCAAACATGGCGACGCATTTATAGAGGAAGCATAACATTTCGTCATCCTGTATCATATCAAAATGTATCGTATCGTGGGTAGATATCGTGATACTGATCGTATCGTGCCATAGGTGTATTTTTACAGCCCTACAGAATATCACTGTTTGATTAATAAGAACCTATTAAAAGTTTAAACATATGTGGCCTGTGACCTTGAATGTCGAACAAGGACATTAGGTTGAGAGTGGATCTAGGTCATTCATTTGCACAAACTTGGTAGTCCTTCATCCTAGCATGCTACAGGCCCAATTTCAGTAACCTTTGCCTTTTGGTTATTGAGAAGAAGTGGTTTGAAAACTTAACGACATTTGACCCCTGTGACCTTGAAAGTGGGTCAAGGCCATTTATTTGAAAAAATTGGTAGCCCTTTATCCCATCATGCTACAGACCCAATATCAGTACCCTGGGCCTTTCGGTTATTGAAAAGAATTTGTTTGAAGATTTTAAGACATTTGACCCCTGTGACCTTTAAAGTGGGCAGAGGTCATTCATTTGAACAAACTTGGTAGCACTTCATCCTAGCATGCTACAGGCCCAATATCAGTACCCTAGGCCTTTTGGTTATTGAGAAATCGTTTGAAGATTTTATGACATTTGACCCATGCTACCTTGAAAGTGGATCAATGTAATTCATTCGAACAAACTTGGTAGCCCTTCATCCAAGCATGCAACAGGCCCAAAATCAGTACCCTGGCCCTTTTGGTTATTGAGAAGAAGTTGTTTAATGAATGGCCAGGTAAGCTAAAAATTTAGAAGAAAATTTCCAGACAAAAAATCAAATACTGAAATGAGCAAAGAGCAATTACCATTGCAAAAATGTTGAATCAAAATTCTTTTAAGGGAGACACTACTTCATATCATGATTATAATGTATACCAAGTTTCCAAGAGATCTTTTGAAAAATGTAGGAGGAGATTGCCAGACAAAAATCAAATACTGAAATAAACAAAGGGCTATAACTTTTGCAAAAAAATGTTGAATTAAAATTCTTTTTAAGGAAACACAACAACAAATCATGATTGTTAAGCATACTAAGTTTCAAAGAAATCTGTCAAAAAATGTAAATAATCTCCGGACAAAAAATCAAATACTGCAATGAACAATAACTATTGGAAAAGTTGTCGAATCAAAATTCTTTAATGGGACACACAACTTCATATCATGGTTATAATGTATACCAAGTTTCAAAGAGATCGGTCGAACAATGTAAGAGGATTTTGCCGGACAAACAAAAGTTTAAGCCGGACGGACGGACCATAATCCATACCATAATCCTTCCGTCAAATTTGACGGGCGTATAAAAAGAACAAATAATATAAACATTTTTTTTACATTTTTACCAGAGAAATATCAGAAATTATCAATGAGATAAAAAAGGTATATCTTCACTGCTATTTATACATATATATAATTACTGCCATGAAAACAATACTTGCTATATGACTTACCATTTATAAGTATGTATGCAACAATGTTGTCATGTATCAACCCATGTATTGGAATATTTTGAAACTAGAAAAATGGGATGCATCCTTATTAACAAACATCTCACTGACAGGGATTGTGGGACTAAAATTTTACACATGAGTAATGTTAACCTGAAGTCAAGCGTCGCCCTAACTACCAATACTACTCCGAAACAGACTATAATCCTTCTAACAACGTTCTTCACCCTATGTTATTTTAAAAAGTGGGGGAACTGAGAACAAGCCACTCTAACATACGTTCAGATAATCTCTAGAATTATTGTTGTTGGAACCTGCCATTCAAGTGCCTGAAAGCTTTTTTTTTTGACAACCCTGCAGTCTGCTGTAGAGTTTATAGTTAGGACCCCATCAGAAAAATGGTTATAGTGATAAAGCATGACCGTTGACCCTTTAACCTAAGATGATCATGACTACAAAAATCTAATCAGTTGTAAAGATTAAGGTTACCACACTATTGTGAATATTCAAACAAAATTCACTGATTGTTTCATAAGATATCTTGTATGCAATTAAGCATTTTACTTTAAAAGTGAGCAAGTGTGAATACTGACTCGTTACTCTTAATGAATGACAGCAAAATCTAGTCGAAAGCAGAACTTAATACTACTAGACTATGGTTAAAATAGAAATGGATTTGTATTGCTCACCTGGTATAAATCTCAAAAGTGTAACCTTAACAGTTGACTAAATTTAAAGATACTTGATAGCCCTTCATCTCAGCATGCTACTGGTCAAATATCATCATATTTTGGTTTTTCAGGAGTTCTTTGAAGGTTTTGACAAATTTGAACTCTGTGACCTTGAATATGCCTCAAGGCATTCAGTTTGAACAAACTTGATAGCACTTCATCCTAGCATGTTACTTGCCAAATATCATCACCCAAGGCCTTTTTTATTCCGAAGTAGTGGTATTTTATAAAGAATTTTAAGACATTTAACCTGTGTGACCTTGAATATAGTTCATAGTAGAATATAGGTCATTCATTTGAACAAACTTGGTAGCTCTTCATCCCAGCATATTACTGACCAAATATATATTACCTTCCTAGGATTTTTGGTTATTCAGAAGTCAGAAGTCGTTTGAAGTTTTTAACCAATTTGACCCCTTTGATTTACCTATTTTCCCCAATTAGACCCCCCCCCCCCTCATTGTAAAATGGTGTGTCTCCTTGGCTCAAGGATGCTCTAGAAAATTTGAGGTTCAAACCCTTTAACACATACTCAAGGAAAAGGATTTGATACATAAATTTACCTACATTTCCCCAAATGGCCCCAAGTCCTCTACCACTATGGGGCATTAACACCCATAGGGCCTCACCCCTGTGCCCCTGGAATAGTCAAATCCTCCATTAAGTATTTCTCTATTTCCCTTAGTTGGCCCCATCCCTCTGCTCCCAGGGAACAGTACTCTTCATTTACACAGGGTTGAATCCCCTTGGCCAAAGGATATTTCTCCAGTCAAAGTAAAATCATTCCTTAAATATTTACTTGTTTTTCTCATGTGACCCTCTTTCTCCAGACAGATCACACCCACCATTTAAACAACCTTGGCCAAAGAATGCTCGAGACCAGTTAAGATTAAAATGACTTTGTTGATACTCAAGGAGTAGGATTTTAAAGATTTACATAAATTTCCCCTATTGGGCCCTGATTCTCTTCCCCCAGAGGGGACACACCCTTCATTTATACAATATTGATTCATCTTAGCCTAGCAATGCTTCACACCAAATGAGGTTCAATTCCATTCAGCCATTCAGGATTAAAAGGTTTTTTTAGTGAAGTAGTACCCTAACCCCAAACTGACAGATGGACAACGGACTGTTCACCACGGCATACACTCAGTTTGTCAGTGTTCTTTATTCCAAAGGGATGACAAACCATTTAACCTAAGTCTATTTTTTCAGTTGTCTCTTTAATATAAATACTTAACTAAATCAATAAAACTAAATTCTGTTACAAATGTTTCTAGGTTATCAATAATGATATGACCGGACTAACTTTCATACCTTTTTTGTGACTTGTGTCTGTTGACAGGGTGTTCAGTTTGTCCTTCATTGAACTAAAATCGGCCCTAAGTGTATTGACATCCTCTGAAAATATACAAGGCAATGCATATAATTTCTATGCAGGTCAGTGAATCGATTTACATAGGAAACTTTTACATATGATCCCAGAGTGATTTTAGCACCAAACATGGTAAGGTCTTTAGTCACTTTAACAGTAATTTAGTGGTCATGTCAACACTCAATACATCTTGTGGTTCTTTTTTTTAGCAAAGTTTGACATTGTCCTTTGAAAGTGAGGTTTGTTGTTTCCTATTTACTAGCATATACACTGTATCTAGTAAATATTGTATAGTATGTATAATAAGTTGATAATGTATCTCAATATCTAAATTTAGGCTTTGTTTATAGATTTAAATATAATGTGACCCTGACCTTGTGTGTATGGACAAGATTTAATGTAACCTTGACCTTGTGTGTATGGACAAGATTTAATTTGACCTTGACCTAATGTGTATGGTTAAGATTTAATGTAACCTTGACCTGATGTGTATCGACAAGATTTAATGTGATCTTGACCTGGTGTGAATGGGCAAGATTTAATGTGAACTTGACCTTATGTGTATGGACACAGTTGTGATTTGCCACCCACTGCCTTGCCATCATACTTGTGCCTTAACATTTCCTTGAGTTAACCACAGCAACTTAGAAGTTACACCCCACACAATTAACCTAAATTTGACCTCAATGTGACCTTGACCTTGGGCATACAGACCCAATAATGGTACCCAACACTTTGCCTTAGGCCAAATAAAAATATATGCGTTTCGAGTGAGTGTTTCGGCAAAAAAAAGGCAGGAAGATAAAAAAAAAACATTTTATTTTTTCATTTTATTTTATGGTGAAGAAAACATCCAGATTACCTCCATGAATGTTAAACAAGAGACCCAGAGGGCCTGTATCGCTCATCTGTTTCTTTTGCTACATGAAACTGACATATAGATAACTCAAGACAAAATTTGGTAACTAGAAAACAAGACATTTTTACATCTCTTAAACAGTTCTGAAGATATTGTTGTTTGAAATTTGGAATTTTAATTTCAAACCTTTTAATTTTAACCCACATTGACCTTTGACTCCTGACTTGCACTTAAAGTTGACCTTTGACCTCATTATTGTAATAAAGAAAATAATTCACACATCTGGTCTACATAACATACCCAAGTATCATACCTATAGTCCAAATGGTTCTTAGGATATTGTTGTTTGAAATGTTTAACATATTTGACCCCGGTGACCTTGAAAGTAGGTCAAGGTCATTTTAATGAGGAAACTTTAAAGCACTCCATCCCATGTACCTACTGGCTAAATAGCATGACCCTAGGTCCTCCAGCTCTTCAGAAGAAGTCGTTCAAAAGAAAAAGGTCACGGACGGAAGACGGACGCCGCAGTACGGCATAAGCTCACATTATTGCTTTAATAAAGTATGAAAGGCACCAGATACATAATTTTGTTTCTTGTAAAATAATTACACAAATGCATTCACAGTTTTTGTGTTTAGCAGGCTCAAACAACACATTGAAGTAAATTATTATTTGACCCATCTAATTTATATAAATGATTATGAAATAACTATAACCGTAATTTACAGTAGTGCTACTGCTACCACCAATGTTACATTTCTAAATTATCCCTACAGCTGGACTCGTTTTTAGTAATCCAAACCCCATTGATGGTCACCAGTGTTATGTTCTCTTTTGTATTACTTACCTTACCATCCCACATATCCTTAAAAATCACTGAGTTATCTTCAGAGGGACAGAAGTTATGGCCTTGACAAACATTTGGAGGAAAGAACCCAGGACCAAAGTTAAGTAGATGTCACTTTTAGTTTTTCTAATACATACACTGTACAAGTACAATATATATGTAGACCAACGATCATACTGTTTGCTTTTGGTATTTATTTAGCTCGATACGTATGATTATATCAGCCATTGTCAACTCCTTGAAAAATAGTGTCACAAAAGAGAACTCATACAATCCAAGATGTCTGCCTGGCAGCTGTCATCTTGTTATTTCTAATCTCAATTATGGACCAAAGGTAATCTACGTATGAAATTTGAGAAAGATCTGTTCAGTAAATCTTCAGAAATGCCTGGCAGCCATCTTGGTGTTTTTTTATCAGTCTTAAAATGCAATGAAACAAAAATGTCAAGGACTACGGGGAAATTTACAATGAGATCTGAGAAAGATTCTCCCAGTAATTGTTAGGAAATAGCGATACTAAGAATTATATTAGGACAGCCATGGGACCATGGACAAAGAGCAATTTGTACAACTCGTCATCTGATGTATATGACTTTAATAATCTGACAATCCAACATCTAACCTACCTTTTATATCCAATAGAAGTTCCTCGATGTATTTATTTGTCATTCTGTGGTCCATCTCCATGGTATACATAGCATCCACTGCCACTACAAACCGCCCTGTATTCAGTTCACTATTTTGTATTTCCTCCACACTTTGGCGGATGATGTCCCATCTAGCCTGAAAATCTCCATCAGAAAGAGAGGCTGTAGTGGCATGAGCATACACCTTATTGCGCTGCTCACGTAGACGGTCGATGTTGGCTGACAGAGATCTGTCTGCCATACCCGGTGCGTTTCCCCAACTTTGCTGATGAGGTGGAATATTTCCAAGGTTTCTTAGAAGGATGTACAGAAGTGATGTGTCCAAATCCTTCATTGAACCTTGATACACCCCAATGTGAGGATACAGAATGTTCTTTTGATGAGGCATCAACACAGAAAAGATCTTGCTTTTCTGGGTGGTAAGTACTGTAGATAGTCCTGATGCTGGCAACCGAGTGTTGAGCAAATCTCGCAATAAGTCCGGGATGACATCGCTGAACAACCTGCAAATTCGTGCAAAATTTGTGGTTTCCTTGGAAGACTGGTAATTGGTAGCCATTTTTGACTTGGTTTAAATAATGAAAGCAAGGGTGATGCTGGAAAATAGAGAAAACATGTCAGATTCTCATTACAGGCTCAGATCAAGGAGAGCAGGGGTATAAATACAGTTATAATTATGGCCTAGTATCCAAAAGTCTGGTTTCCGTTCAGTCAGCGTGTGTCCTGTGTTGAACAGTATCTGACTCGCGGCTGGTTATCGACCATAATGCTTGTCTTTTTTGGCTGAATCAGCTTTAGCGGTCAAATCAAATCAAATTGATCGGCTTTAAGGCTGACTATATCCAAGCTTTTCCTGACCTATCAACCGCTGATTGAACATCACGGATGATTGCTAGCTGTATAACCTACTGTCGGCATTCACCCGTGACGTTTGATGAACCATTATCGTTAACTAACAATGGCGTCGCTGATCAGAGACATTATGCAGTATATGTATTATTAATAAAGATGTAAATACATCGTTTTAATATCAAACCTTCCTTCCTTTGTCTGTCCCTTGGTCAAGCGGTGATCAAGGCACAAGTTTATTGTGGTTTGACATGTACAGCTGTAAAGCAAATACTTACCCACAATAGACGTTATAATAAGTGGTATAATGAGTGATTGCCTACATACCTGGTCAAAGGGGCAATCATATATGTACAGGTACAGTTGGTCACTTACGGAGGTGTGGGGTTATGGGGGATAAATCACAATTTCCACTTCCTGTTCAAGGGGAATTGAGAGTTTGTTTGCCCGCAGGGTTTTCACATTAGTACAGGAGTAAATCCCGTTAAGGCAAAATACTTATGTGTGTCAAGTAATGAGTGTCTTTTAAATAGCTAATATCTAGGTGTTTCTAAATCTGTTCACGCATCCAGAAAACCACCCATCCATGACGAGGATTCAGGACAAGGGTATAACATAGCAAATATTGTATGGCAATTCATACTGCACCCAATCTTTACTTACCAAGCTGTACACCTATCTCAGGATATAGGTCACAGTGACATACTTTTTGTACTCCATTGACATACTTTTTGTACACCAGTGCCATACTTTTTGTACTCCGAACTCCGCTAGCCAGGTGACAAGTACACTAAATACTGTATACCAGGAAATGTTTGCCATGTCAATCTTTCGCCCTTTGTCGGTAAAATTCATATTTGCCAAGTTTTCATTTCCCGTCTTTATATGTGATAACTATAAATAGAATGTTCTTTACTACTGTTCACTGATATGATAAATGCGCCCTCATTACAGAGGGCGAAGGCGAAAAATAAACTGTAAGAAAAAATTCCCAGTATACAGTATAATAGTGCAGAAATAAAACTGGGTGGCCGATTACCAGGTAAGTTTGGGTGTAGGAGATGTTCAGCAATAACATCCTTCTGTAAGGAAGGCTGGAGGACGTGTCAGTCGCATAAAAATGCAAAGTGGCCAACCGCCTGATTACTTGTAGGCTTACGGAAGTGCATTAACATTCTCTTCAATTTTGTAAGTTATAATGAACAGGAGATAGATTATGTATCACAACCAGTAAGTATTTATGTTTGACGCTTCAATGACAACCATTACTTATCAACTTGTGGTGACCATTTTAAAATCTTCTCTATGTTGGTCGTTATTTTAACAACATGAACAATCACTAGGGAGTAGATTTCATTGCTTCAACTCGAAATGCTCTTAATCAATACGTCTTTTCAATGATATTAGCACATGTTTTGTTAGATCCCCGAAGTCGCCGTACGCATAGAATATTAGATAAAGTTGTTTTTCTCCTGCCCACACAACTCCAACAACCCAGGTGGGGTATACAATGGTCCGGGGTGGGTGTTGCGGTATCTGTGCTGTAGCATTCAAGTGAGGTGGCCCTATAAATGATACCGTTAGAAGCACGGTTCTACTACAAACAGAACACAATACATCTCCAGCACACACGCAGGCATACACACATAGGGAGATATTAGCCAGGTGGTATAGGACTAGTAGTTAGCGCCTGATAAGGCAGCTCCTGCGAATTCCTCAATATTGTATTGATTGATATATATGCTAATTGTATTGACTGTAAACATTGTATATCTATGTACTGTAAAGCGCTTTAGAGTGGCTCATGTTAGCTAGATAGGGCGCTATATCAAATGTTGTATATTATTATTATTTATTATTATTAAATGATGCTCTGTAAGATATGTAGTGGCTCTGTCATACTAGTAGTGGTTCTGTCCTATTACCAGTGGTTGTGTTATATTACCAGTGGTTCGTGTGTATTAACAGAAATTGCGAGGAGAGTAATAGAAGTCGGTAGAGCTTGTTTGGCTGTGGGCACCGAGCCAAATTTTAGCAACCAGCCGATCTCGATCGCTCGAGGGCACGTTTAACGACTTCATCCCCGCTTGCTACTGACCAGATATCATCACCCTAGGCCTTTTGGTTATTCAGAAAAAGTTGTTTAAAGGTTTTAATCATATTTGACCCCTGTGACCATGAATATCAGTCAAGGTCATTTATTTGAACAAACTTGGTATCCCTTTATCCCAGCATGTTACTGCCCAAATATCATCACCCTAGACCTCTTGGTTATTCAGAAGAAGTTGTTTAAAACATTTTAACATATTTGACCCCTGTGACCTTGAAAATAGATAAAGGTCATTAATTTGAATAATTTGGTAGCCCTTCATTCCTTTATGCTTCTGGCCAAATATCATCACGCTAGGCGTTTTGGTTACCGAGAAGAAGTTGTTTAAAAAATTTAACATATTTGACCCTTGTGACCCTGAATATGGGTCAAGGTCATTAATTTGAACAAACTTCGTTGCCCTTTATCCAAGCATGCTACTGGCCAAATATCATCACCCTAGAACTTTTGCTTATTCAGAAGTTGTTTAAAGATTTTTCACATATTGGACCCCTGTGACCTTCAATATGAGTAAAGGTTATTCATTTAAACAAACTTGATCGCCCTTCATACCAGTATTCTACTGGCCAAATATCATCACCCTTGGCCTTTTGGTTATTCAGGAGAAGTCGTTTAAAAGATTTTAACATATTTGACCCCTGTGACTTTCAATATGAGTGAAGGTTATTAATTTAAACAAACTTGGTAGCCCTTCATCTCAGTATTCTACTGGCCAAATATCATCACCCTTGGCCTTTTGGTTATTCAGAAGTTGTTTAAAGATTTTTTTCATATATTAGACCACTGTGACCTTGAATATGAGTGAACAAACCGAGCATTAACAAAATTATGCTTCAGGCCACATTTGGTTTAAATCCCTTCATTTGTTAAGAAGGGAAAATATTTTTCTCTATTTCCCCTATTTGGCCCCGCTCTTCTGCCTCTGGGGAAGGGGGCACATCCTCCATTTATAGATAGTAAATTTCCTTTGCCCAAAGATGCTCTTTTGGTAAAATTTCTTCATCGGTACAAACGGAGAAGGATCTCCAATGTTTTCTTCTATTTCCCCTAATGGGCCCCACTCATCTGCCCGAAAGAAGGGGGCCATAGAGCTCAGTTGATACAAAATTGATTCTTTTGTCCCTAAGCATGGTTCAGAATGCATTTGGTTTAAATACCTTCACTAGTATAGTAGGATAACAAATTTCCTCTATATCCCTTATTGGGCTTCGCCCTTCTGCCCCCAGGGGGCCCGTACCCTCTGTTGAACTTTTTGGCCAATGCTGCTCCCGACAAAATTTGTTTAAAATCCCTTCAACCGTACAAAAGGAGAAGGATCTTTAATGTTTTTATCTATATCCCCTAATGGGCCCCACCCATCTGCTCCAAAGAAGAGGGTCAACACACCTCAGTTTTTTAAAAAAATGTTGTTTTTTTTTGTCCCAAAAGCATGCTTCAGACTGCATTTGGTTTAAATCTCTTCATTTGTATAATAGGAGAAAAAATTCCTCTTTTTCCCCTATTGGGCCCCGCCTCCTTGCCCCCGCAGGGGCCACATCCTCCGTTTATTCAAACTTGAGGCTGGTCAAAATCCTTCTATTGGTTGATATGGAGAAGATTTTGAATGATTTACCAATTTCCTCTTATTCTATAATTTGACCCCGCTCCTCTGCCCCTAGGAGGGCCATACACTGCTAATAGATACACAAAAGGCCCAGATGCCCTGTATCTCTCACCCGGAAATGTTTGCAAAATTGACGTTGGAATAGCTAGATGTTGCTGGTAGTGTACATATATTGCGTGGTTAGTCGGGGGTTATATTTATATGCAATTGGACAAAATCCTGTCATATCTACGGGAAAAGTGGGATTTTGAAGATCTGGCTGTTTCCCCTATTGGGCCTCGCCCCTCTGACCAAATATGGACAAAATCTTGTCACTCGTACATAAGAAGAAGGATTTTAAAGCCATTTTTCTATTTTCCCCATTTGGCCCCGCCCTTCTGTCCCAAGCGGGTTCAAACATCCAATGATACACAATTGTTTTCCCTTCCAAATAGGATGCTACTGTTCAAGTTTGATCAAAGTTACCTTCATCCTAATGGAAGAAAAAAGGATATTAAAGCTACTCCTCTATATCCCTTATTGGACCCATCATCTATTCCCCCAGGGGGGTCAGACACACCGTTTATACAAAATTGGTTCCCCTTTACCCCAGGATGCTTCATACCAAATTTACACAAAATCCTGTCATTCCTACAGAAGAAGAAAGATTTTGAAGAATTTGTTGTTTTAGTCCCTTTTGCCCAAGGATCCTCCAGACCTTATTAGGAAGAATTCAATTAATCCCTATGGTAGAAGAGGGATTTTGAACGTTTAACCTCTATTTCCCCTATTGGACCCCCGCCCTGCTGCCCCCCCCCCCTCCCTGGAGACCACCACACCCACTGCTTATAAAAAATTGAGTCCCTTTGGTCCAAGGATGCATCAGACTTAATTCTAATAAAATCCCTTGATTCATACAGCAGAAGAAGATTTCCCCTATTGGGCACCGCCCCTTAAAGATGACCCATGCGATAGTTTACTCTTTGAAAATATTGCAACATTCCAACATTGATAAGTC